GGTAGAGGCGAGCTCATTAGAACAAATGACATGAAAATATTTACAGAAAAGACAGATGGTGACCTAGTCACCGTGGTGAAAAGCGAGAGAACTCAAGATCGCTCTCAGGTCAAAATCGATAATGTTATCGACACTTCTTTCGAGTATGTCGAAAGTATCGTGATATGTACCTGGAGGTCCTGACCAGATATACAAGCAACAATACATATTTATATTAAAACTAGCTTAAAAGCTGCATTTAAGATAGCTCCTGCGTAGGGTTCTTGCTTGGTCCTTCGGCTTGTTCAGGAGATTGAGAGTCCCTAATTCTTTGCATATTCTCACGATTGGAAGTTCCCCTGGCTGCTGTTTGATTTAGGTTTTCATTTGCATGGAACTTTCTTTTCCTTTGCTGCAGCCTTGGCTCTTTTGATTGCAATCTGGTCCTCTGTTGGCGGAGATTTCTTTCTTGTGAGGCATACGGCTGCCGTATGCAATAGGCAACAATAAACTACAGAAGAACTCAAAATTGATCGCTGCATTTAAGTATTGCATTAACGTTTAAGTTTACTTTTTAAAAGTTCAACGATAATTCTTCTGTCACCACTTAATTTAAAGACAATTTGATGCACGTAAGTCCTTACTTTCCGTAGAAAGCATAATTTTGATTTCATGGGTGACTTTTCATTTCAATTATTCCCAATTTTATTTCCAAGTTATCGTACCAAAAATCCGTAAAAAGTAAATAATCGCCGAAAACAATCGCATTAATGAAAACTTGGAAATCCAAAATTTCAGGATTGCAGGTCCGAATTCGGCCCGGAATGTTTTAATTTGTTCACGAAGTCTGTCTGATTCCAAAATGGTATGATATGTTGGGATACAGCCTCTTGGGGTAAAGTTGAAAAAGTGTGGCATAATGGCATAGTGATATTTATATGGATGACCAACAATACATATTTAGATTAAAATGACCAACAGTACATTTTTTATAGAAAAATGCTCAGCAATAAATTTTATCTGTAGTTGAATCCATAAAATTGTGTTAAAATATTTAGATTTCGGCATAGAGGTGTTGATATGCCGCTAAATAAAACTAACCAAACAGCCAACATAAAAGAACTCTTTCATGATATTAATCTACATAATTTCCTACAATTTCTTAAAGAAATCAAACTGTATTCCAAAATATAAGAAACTACAACATAAAACACACATATCACCACCTCTAGTAATTATGTCCATACAAACATGTATATGCACAAAAGCTGAGTATCATCTACCATGTATTCAATTGTGAAACCAGAATAACATATATATTTTCATCACTTCAATGCTCCTAAGAAAATTAAATTTTGTTTGTAGATGCTCCATAAGGTGTTGATATGCCGTTAAACTAACAAATCAAATCAAACACTTGCCTGTCTGTCTGCGGAATTTCCTGCTTGAATTTGAACTTCCTTATAAGGAAATACTTCGCTAGGAACACTAAAGAAGTCATTCACGGAGATAGTCAGGTTTTGGTCTCCTCGTACGATCGGAAGTCCGTAATTTTTAAAAATCATTATCCTTCTTAGGGTTCTACGCTTGATGCACACTTGAGCGATGGTGTCTTTTCGATTCAAAAATGACTAAAGAGAAAGTTTCCCTCGGTAAGCTGTTATTTATTGCAGGAGTCTGGTAGCTAACTGTTATGGCACCTTACCCATAATAACATAATGGACTATTCCATACGTAATAAATACTGCGCCTCAAGAGGAAGCAGAGAGTTCAGTCTGAAGTCTGGAGTGAAGTCCGTCAGTAGTCTGTCAGTCAGTCAGAGCGAATCAGTCAATCGAGTCAGAGGCAGTCCGAAACAGAGTCGCGTTCAGACAATTACTACTAAACCTGATTGTTCGTACTAACACTTTTCTACCTCTCTGTATATATTCCTGTTTGTAATATATCTGTGTTATTCCATATCCGTATTCGAGTTCTTCTTTATTGGTTCTACCTTGGACTATCACCGTCGTACAAGGAACCGGACCATAACAGTGGAAACGAGCGATTCGAACTCGTTCGGTGGAAGGAAAAAAAAATTTGTTCGCCACAGCATAACAGTGGCGACGAGAGATTCGAACTCTCACGTGAAGAACAAACAACAAAATCATCTCTCGTCAACATAACAATTGACGACGAAAAACCCCTAAAAAGGAAAATCCTTAAAGAAAAACAAACTCCCTACTCGGAGAACATATTTTTTTTGCTATCCGTTGTACGTAACAGTGGACGACGATTAAATTCTAAAAATAAAAAATAAAAATTTTCTTTTCTTGATATCAAATTTCACTGACAACAAAGGAAAAATTTTTTTGCGAGCACAGGCTAGAGAATATCAGGTTACACACACACAAAAAACGTTAACATGGAAGATCTTAAGTCAACCATTATGGAACTTATCAAAATCCAGTTTGAACAACAACAACGATACGAACAAAAACATCTGGAAATGTTTGAACAACAACAAAGGTACGAACAAAAAAACATCTAGAAATGCAAGAATTATTGATACGTGCAATGGCAAATAAGGGGCAAAGACCCGAGAACGAATCAGTTCTCTCTAAAGACGCTATTTGGAGTAATATCGAAGATTTCAAGTACGCACCCGACGAAGATAAAATTTTTGCAAATTACTTCCGAAGGTATGAAGATCTATATTAGTTTGACTGCAAAGATTGGTCAGACGCACGTAAAGTACGCCTTTTATTAAGACAATTAGGCACAGGCGAATATACCAAATTCGTTGATTATATACTTCCCAGAAAAACAAGGGAGTTAACTTTCAAAGAATCTATAAAATTGCTAACGGAACTTTTCAGCCATAATACTTCACTATTTCATAAAAGATGGAAATGCATGAACCTTACAAAAAAGGATAGCAAAGATTACGTAACTTTCGCATCCATTGTTAATAAATATTGTTATTCCATATCCGCCTTCGAGTTCTTCTTTATTGGTTCTACCTTGGACTATCACCGTCGTACAAGGAACCGGACCATAACACTAACCAAAGCTATAAAGCCCAGTCTGTCTTGATATTTAACCTATATCTGGAAGAAATGGACCCATGTCTTTCCCAGTGTAATTGCGAATAAGTAGACCTGGCGGACCTATGCATCTCCGGTCAAACCACAGACAATCGCTACCAAGTTGAAGTTTCGCCTTGGTCACGGATACGTGACCATCAGCGTCTTGGCCTTCTGTGAAACCACCGCCTAGTGATGGTGAGTGAAAATTAAATAGAAGACATTACTAAATACTATGGTTTGTATTTGCATAAGGATGTTACTATTAAAGATATCTATTGATAAACGTCAACGGAGGCAACGTAATTCTAAGGCCAACTTTTGTTTTATACATTTATACACATAATTATATTACGCCGGGTAAAGAAAATAAACGATAAATGTTCAACGTCTGTAAATAAACTGTAATGATAATGGGAAAATTAGCCATTTCCTTATAAGGGAATATTTGGCATTCATTGGCCGAAAATATGTACAACTGTCGTTTCATATTTATAAAGTCATTTTCCTCAAACAGATTTCAGGAAAATAGGTTTCTTAAGGCCACTAATTACATTTTTCAAGTATTGATTTGGGCTTCTTTTCTAACTTGGCTTACGGCCATATCACGTTGAAACATTGATTCTCGTACGATCTTTGAAGTAAAACAACGTCGAGCATAGTCACTACGTACATGAGGAACTGTTTGGTAATATCAGGTGCTGTAAGCTTGGATATGCGGGTGGGTTAATGTGTAACAGCTCGGAATTTGAAATCGGATAATTTAAGTACCAATTCCAGTTGGGTTCGTTCTATTCACGAACACGCAAATTCTCAAGAGAAAGGTATGGTTCCACCTCTTCTTCCCCCCAGCTATGGGTTAATTAGTAGGACTTGTATCAGTAAATCATTATTTACACTATTTACCTTATTCGGACAATTGTCCTCATGATTGTCGCCATTTTTATTGCAATGTTTCGGCCGTTGTACTCTCTGGCCTACTTCAGGTGGTTGGAATGTCGAACTTACCTTTTATATCGCTCACTGAGGTAGACTGTTCTAGTTCCACGTGCCATGTTTAATGGAAGTCAGTTGTCAGTTATCTCCTGTTAATTTCCCTCTGAAAGTTCTCCACCGGGTATTGAACTCACACTCTTTGGGTCCTGTCACTGGATCTAACTACCGCCTTTATCCACTGTGACATGTGACCTTGTAATAAAAATAGCGACAAAGATGAGTTCAATAGTCCAAATAATGTAAATAGTGTACATAATACCTCATCTCAGAAATATAGACGAGTAAATCATTATTATCTTCTAAAAATTCGTATAATGGAAAAATATTTTCTGGTTTTATATTAGGTTGGTGCAAAAATAATGTCATTTTTGATGTTCACACTAACGTCAAAAACGACATTATTTTTGCACCAACCTAATATAACCTACAAAAAGTCGATAAGCCGTAAAAACTAGCTCAACCACTCTTTCCTGATTTTCTGTTTGAAGTCGTGTAGAAAGCCAGCTTATTGATTGTGAAATCATTTTCTCTTCGAGTAACATGTGTCAACCATTTTAGTTAATGCTGCCGTTGAAATTCTACACGTTTCGTTGTTTCTGTTCTTTGGTAATGCACATTATCATTGTGTAGCGCTAATCAACGAGGCCTGAAGAAGTTCACTTGATTTGTTCGGAGTCTTTTTTAACCAAAGATCAACAGGTTCTTGTAATATCATGATATTATTAATAAAACTCTATTTTTCAGAGTTTCTATATTCATCCAAAACATATTTACTTTATCGGAAAGTATTTACAGATCCATTAATAATTCCGTTGACATGGAAAAAAAAAAACTCTGTATGTTTCGAATAGACTGAGATACATAGATATGAATAGACTGAGATAGACAGATATATGAACAGACTGAGATAGATAGATGAGATAGACAGACAAGAATAGACTGAGATAGATAGATAAAGAATTAGACAGATAGATAGATAGATAGACAAGAATAGACTGAGATACATAGATATAGACAGATAGAGACAGACTTTAGATGAGATAGACAGATAAGAATAGACTGAGATACATAGATATGAACAGACTGAGATACATAGATAGAAACAGACTGAGATAGATAGATAAGAATAGATAGATAGACAAGAATAATAGACTGAGATACATAGAGACAAGAATAGAACAGACTGACAAGAATAGACTGAGATAGATAGACAAGACAAGAATAGACTGAGATAGACAGATAATAGACTGAGAACAGACTGAGATAGATAGATAGACTAGATAGATGGATAGATAGATACAAGAATAGATGAGATAGATAGATGAATAGACTGAATAGACTGAGAAGAATAGATGAGATAGACAGACAGAATAGACTGAGATAGATAGATAGATAGAATAGATGATAGACAGACAAGAATAGACTGAGATAGACAGATAGTTAAGAACAGACTTAGACAAGAATAGAATGAGATAGACAGACAAGAATAGACTGAGATAGACAGACAAGAATAGACTGAGATAGACAGATAGTTAAGAATAGATAGACAAGAATAGATATGAGATAGACAGACAAGAATAGACTGAGATAGACAGATAGATAGAATAGACTGAGATAGACAGACAAGAATAGACTGAGATAGACAGACAAGAATGAACAGACTGAGATAGATAGATGAGATAGACAGACAAGAATAGACTGAGATAGACAGACTGAATAGACTGAGATAGACAGACAAGAATAGACTGAGATAGACAGACAAGAATAGAACAGATAGACAGATAAGAATAGATGAGATAGACAGACAAGAATAGACTGAGATAGACAGATAGGTAAGAACAGACTGAGATAGATAGATAGATAGACAAGAATAGACTGAGATAGACAAGAATAGATGAGATAGACAGATAGAATAGAACAGAGATAGATAGAATAGACTGAGATAGATAGATGGACAAGAATAGATGAGATAGACAGACAAAATAGACTGAGATAGACAGACAAGATAGACTGAGATAGAACAGACTGAGATAAGAATAGATAGATAGACAGACAAGAATAGACTGAGATAGATAGACAAGAATAGACTGAGATAGACAGAAATAGAGACTGAGATAGACAGACAAGAATAGACTGAGATAGACAGACAGATAGAATAGACTGACAAGACTGACAGATGAACTGAGATAGACAAGAATAGACTGAGATAGACAGACAAGAATAGACTGAGATAGACAGATATGAATAGACAAGAATAGATGAGATAGACAGACAAGAATAGATAGATGAGATAGACAGACAAGAATAGATAATAGATGAGATAGACAGACAAGAATAGACTGAGATAGACAGATAGTTAAGAACAGACTGAGATAGATAGATAGATAGATAGACAGACAAGAATAGACTGAGATACAGATAGAATAGACTAGATGGAATAGAATGAGATAGACAGACAAGAATAGACTGAGATAGACAGACAAGAATAGACTGAGATAGACAGATAGTTAAGAACAGACTTAGACAAGAATAGATGAGACTGACAAGAATAGATAGAGAGATAGACAGATAGTTAAGAACAGACTGAGATAGACAGATAGAATGAACAGATAGACAGACAAGAATAGACTGAGATAGACAGACAAGAATAGACTGAGATAGACAGACAAGAATAGACTGAGATAGACAGATAGTTAAGAACAGACTTAGACAAGAATAGAATGAGATAGACAGACAAGAATAGACTGAGATAGACAGACAAGAATAGACTGAGATAGACAGACAAGAATAGACTGAGATAGACAGACAAGAATAGACTGAGATAGACAGACAAGAATAGACTGAGATAGACAGATAGAATAGATAGATAGATGATAGAATTGAGAACAGACTTAGACAAGAATAGAATGAGATAGACAGACAAGAATAGACTGAGATAGACAGACAAGAATAGACTTAGAGATAGACAGATAAGATAGATAGATAGATAGATGAGATAGATTAGACAAGAATAGACTGAGATAGATGAGATAGAATAGACTGAGATAGATAGATAGAATAATAGACTTAGACAAGAATAGAATGAGATAGACAAGAATAGACTGAGATAGACAGACAAGAATAGACTGAGATAGACAGATAGAACTGACAAGAATAGACTGAGATAGACAGACAAGAATAGACTGAGATAGATAGATAGACTGAGATAGACAGAGACTAGATAGATAGACAAGAATAGATGAGATAGATAGACAAGAATAGACTGAGATAGACAGATACTGAGATAGATGATAGATGAATAGACAAGAATAGATGAGATAGACAGACAAGAATAGACTGAGATAGACAGACAAGAATAGACTGAATAGACAGATAGATAGAACAGACTTAGATAAGAATAGATGAGATAGACTGACAGAGAATAGACTGAGATAGACAGACAAGAATAGACTGAGATAGAATAGAATAAATAGACTTAGACAAGAATAGACTGAGATAGACAGACAAGAATAGACTGAGATAGACAGATAAAGAACAGACTGAGAATAGATGAGATAGACAGACAAGAATAGACTGAGATAGACAGATAAGAATAATGAGATAGACAGACAAGAATAGATGAGATAGACAGATGGAAGAATAGACTGAGATAGACAGATATAAGATGATGGATAGAATGACACAGACAAGAATAGACTGAGATAGACAGACAAGAATAGACTGAGATAGATGAGATAGATAAGAACATAGACTGAGATAGACAGATAGATGAAGACAGACAAGAATAGATAGATAGAATAGACTGAGAAGACTGAGACAAGAACAGACTGACAGATAGAACAGACTGACAGAGAATAGATAGACTGAGATAGACAGACAAGAATAGACTGAGATAGACAGATAGTTAAGAACAGACTTAGACAAGAATAGAATGAGATAGACAGACAAGAATAGACTGAGATAGACAGACAAGAATAGACTGAGATAGACAGATAGTTAAGAACAGACTTAGACAAGAATAGACTGAGATAGACAGACAAGAATAGACTGAGATAGACAGATAGTTAAGAACAGACTTAGACAAGAATAGACTGAGATAGACAGATAGATAGATGAGATAGACAGACAAGAATAGACTGAGATAGACAGATAGTTAAGAACAGACTGAGATAGACAGATGAGATAAGAACAGATAGAATAGATGAGAATAGACTGAGATAGACAGACAAATGAATAGATAGACAGACAAGAATGAGATAGACAGACAAGAATAGATGAGATAGACAGATAGATATGAGATAGACTTACAAGAATAGACTGAGATAGACAGATAAGAATAGACTGAGATAGACAGATAAGATAGACTGAGATAGATAGAATAGATGATAGACAGATAGAGATAGAATGAATAGATAGACAGACAAGATAGATGAGATAGAAGACAGAATAGACTGAGATAGACATAGATAGAACAGACTTAGACAAAAGAATAGATAGATGAGATAGAATAGACAAGAATAGACTGAGATAGATACAGATAGTTAAGAACAGACTGAGACAAGAATAGATGAGATAGACAGACAAGAATAGACTGAGATAGACAGACAAGATAGACTGAGAAGACAGACTGAGAATAGAATGAGATAGACAGACAAGAATAGACTGAGATAGACAGACAAGAATAGACTGAGATAGACAGACAAGAATAGACTGAGATAGACAGATAGTTAAGAACAGACTTAGACAAGAATAGAATGAGATAGACAGACAAGAATAGACTGAGATAGACAGACAAGAATAGACTGAGATAGACAGACAAGAATAGACTGAGATAGACAGACAAGAATAGACTGAGATAGACAGATAGAATAGACTAGATACAAGAATAGATGAGATAGACAGATAGAATGAATAGACTGACAATGAGATAGACAGACAACAAGAATAGATGAGATAGACAGATGAATAGACTGACTAGACTAGATAGAATAGATGAGATAGACAGACAAGAATAGACTGAGATAGACAGATAGTTAAGAACAGACTTAGACAGATAGATGAGATAGACAGACAAGAATAGACTGAGAGACAGACAAGATAGATGAGATAGACAGATAGACTGAGATAGACTGATAAGAATAGATAGATAAGAATAGACTGAGATAGACAGACAAGAATAGACTGAGATAGACAGATAGTTAAGAACAGACTTAGACAAGAATAGAATGAGATAGACAGACAAGAATAGACTGAGATAGACAGATAGTTAAGAACAGACTTAGACAAGAATAGACTGAGATAGACAGACAAGAATAGACTGAGATAGACAGACAAGAATAGACTGAGATAGACAGATAGTTAAGAACAGACTTAGACAAGAATAGACTGAGATAGACAGACAAGAATAGACTGAGATAGACAGACAAGAATAGACTGAGATAGACAGACAAGAATAGACTGAGATAGACAAGAATAGATAGATGAGATAGACAGACAAGAATAGACTGAGATAGACAGACAAGAATAGACTGAGATAGACAGATAGACTGATAGACTTAGACAGAATAGACTGAGATAGACAGATAGAATAGACTGAGATAGACAGACAAGAATAGACTGAGATAGATAAATAAGATAGACTAGATAGACAGATAGATAAGAACAGACTTAGACAAGATAGACTGAGATAGACAGACAAGAATAGATGAGATAGATATGAAGACAGACTAGACAGATAGATAGATGGATGGAATAGACTGAGATAGACATGGATAGATGAGATAGACAGACAGAATAATAGACTGAGAATAGATGAGATAGACAGACAAGACACTGACTGAACAGACTTAGATAGATGAGATAGACAGACAAGAATAGACTGAGATAAGATTTGGTTAGAGTGAACTATCTTGTCTCGACAAGTATCACTCTCAATTATATCTCCTACAATATCTTCTTACCTCTTGAGAAGCTCAGTATTTATAATGTCAGGAATAGTCCATTATTATTATGGGTAAGTTAATTAATGGGTAGATATGAAAAGACCTACACACACACACACACACACACACACACACACACACACACACATATTTATTGTTATGAGGCCCCATTTTATTCTTAGTAGTGGCCTGACTCTTTCAACTCCCAATTTTTCCAAGCAATTCAAACTGCTAATTGACCTGAGATGGGCTTTGGGGTTAACAAAAGTTTTTTGCATTATGAATTTCAAAGCTTTTACTCATAGTGGGGGGAGTGTTACGAGGTCCCATTTTATTCTTAGTGGTGGTCCGACTCTTCAACTCACAATTTTCTTTGATATTATTAACCAAAATCCTTCACGTTATATATATGTGAATATCTAACTATTTTTCTAAGAATAAAATAATATGATTCTTTGACTAGCGACGAATTCCTATCCGTCGCCTTAATCTTAACTGTATTTAGATTTTCTCTTCCACTCCTTCGTATAGCTACACGTTAAGCCAACTACTTTCTAGGCACTCACACGATTATTAAATTGTTAGCTTTTTCTGTCTATATTGTTTAAACCTCAGCCTGACTGTTTATAAAAAAAATATGGTATTATATGTTAAATAAGACCCAATTTTCGTTATTACATGTAATCTTTTCTTCAACTTTAATTTCTAAGAATCTGTTTCATCCTATTTTGTGTTGCGCAGACGTAACAATATATATATATATATATATATATATATATATATATATATATATATATATATATATAGAGAGAGAGAGAGAGAGAGAGAGAGATAGATAGATAGATAGATAGATAGATAGATAGATAGATAAGCACTGACATGAGTAGATAGATAGATAGATAGATAGATAGATAATAGCACAGACATAAGTAGATAGATAGATATGACCAAAATGATAGAGATAAATAGATATGAACAGGGAAGTACATAGAATCTTTCATATGTATATATATATATATATATATATATATATATATATATATATATATATATATAGAGAGAGAGAGATAGGTAGATAGATAAACCTAGTGAGCCAAACAAACCTACCCAGGCTCAATAGGTTTATCTAAGTCTGCTCTACGGTTGTATTGAGCTCTTTTAGTTAGTTTTTTTTACTCATGTCGGGGTTTTTTTTCTTTGGGCTACAAACCTGTATCTGTGCGATTTTTTTCGACAGACTTTCATGTTTCTAGCTCTTTCTTTTTTTAAAAAAATTTTTCCTTCGAGATTGATTGATTTGATTATTGGCAAATCAAAAATTCGAAGGTTTTTCGAAACAGTATAGTTACCTATATATATATATATATATATATAGATAGATAGATAGATAGATAGATAGATAGATAGATAGATAGATAATATTAGTGGTAAATATACACATAAATATTCAATCATATATCTAAAATATATATACATACATACAAACACATACATATATATTTGTATAAAAAAAAAAGGATAGAATCAGGTAGAACTCAATGTCAGGACAGAGTATATATAAAAAAGGCTTAAACACTAATATTCCATGGTAATTATTTATTCCATTGCAATTGTAAATACGATCCAATTCATCAGACCTATATATATATATATATATATATATATATATATATATAGATAGATAGATAGATAGATAGATAGAAACAGACTGAGACAGATAGATTCCTCGATAGATAGATATGAACAGAGAGTTGGGACAAATTTCATGGTGGTGTTTATCCTTTTTTTTCTTTTAAACTACCCCGTATCTAATGTCCCTGGAATTTCGAGAACTAATTCAGAGAAGAAAACAAATTCTCAAAATTTCAAAACATATTTTACAGTTCGGCGTGAAATCACTTCAAGGAACTTTTTTCTATTTATCTTCGTTTAAAATGTGAAGTAGTCTTTTTATTTCATTTCGTTTGACTTTCATTTAAATAATGTGAACCTGTCTATTTTTACTTCATATATTAATGAAATCTCTATTCTAAAAGAACAATAATTGCCTTTTTGCCTTCCCTCCAACATCTACGAACGGACTTGAATATCTATCCTATTTACTAACAGAATAAGAATAATTTCGACAAAGAATTCTTCAGTAAGATATCACGTTAGCTGCTCAAGGACGGGTCGTTGTTTTCTTGGCTTTATCACTGTTTATGCACTGTCTTGAATGTTCGAATAAGAATGGCTGGCAAAAGGATCTTTCTAAACAGACAGCTTTGTTGTAATTTAGGGAAGAAATAAGATAATTCACAAATTAACTGGTCGGCTGCTCCAAGAACAAAGAAACCTCTTGTTAATTGCTTCAGAATCAAAGACATTTTTCGTTTGATGCCACATCAGGCGTTGCAAAGTTGGTGATCAAACGCAAAAAAAAGGACAACTCTCGCGACTTCTCTGCCATTTGTAAATTATAACATTACATTTTCCGTCAAGCGAAAATAGCCATTTTTACTTTCAGCACTGAATTGGGCTTTTTAAACAGGATGCATCGCTGGGTGGTGTCATGGATAGCGGCTCGGATTGCGAAACCCTGGGAACAAAATTCGAATTCGAGTCGAGATCGTTATTTTCACTTACGCGTAAATAACTATGATAAAGATATAATGGACTATTCCTTACCCAGATATAGGTATATAGGAGAACAGCTGGTAACCCGCTAGCAGAAGGGAAACTTTTCCAGCCTCTGTTTCCGAAGACACACCAACTATACGACAGCTGCAGTACAGGTAGTACCCCTAATGGGACTCGTAATCATAATCGTGAAAACAGTCGCCCAGTTTAAATAATTTGTGTTGACCAAGATGGCTTTATTTTCTTTAAAGAACCGAACTATCAAACTTTGATCAAACTATGACAAAAATAAATCCTCAGCCATCAGTGTTTATACTTGAACGCTAAAAACAGAATCCTAGATCGTTCACCAGCCATTGTGACACTGAAGATGGTTGAATGATTAGCTATTCAAGTAGAAGTCATATTCTTGACGGTTCAATTCACACTGGCGAATAGATTAGTCGTACTTGCATCAAAGAAACCAGAAAACAAACAATAAAATAGAGGAAAACCAACTTTATTCAAAGAAAGAAAAGGGAATAAGATATGTTTTATACGCAGAATTACATAAATGTTCGCTTTGCAATAAATTTCCTTGAGTTGATTCCCACTCAGACACTCGATTCGACAATGTTGATCGTTGCTAATTTTATTTCATTCATCGCATGAAGCAGACGACCGCTGGCTTCGAGCGACAACGAAGAGCTGCTATTTGTGGGAGTTGGCACAGCGTAAGCGGTAACAGTGAACTTCCGGTCGTAATTGTTTGACAACTCCTTCTATTGACAAATCATGTCTCCCATGAACAATGAGACATCCCACCCATATATATATATATATATATATATATATATATATATATATATATATATATTGTGTATGTTTAGAATTTCTTCTAGTTTATATATCATCCTTCCTTCCATTCTTTGAGGTGATGCTGAAAAGTCCTTGGTTACTCCAACATCTAAAATCACTGTTCTGATGTTTAATTTAAAAAAAAAACTGATTTTTGTTTAAGTGGCCGGACGAACAATTTCAACCACCACATAGATAGATAGATAGATAGATAGATAGATAGATAGATAGATAGATAGATGTAAACAGTTTAATAAAAGAAAGAAGGAAAAAAGAAAGAAAAAAAGAACAGATTGATAAAAGAATAGATAGATAGAAACAAATTGATAAAAGAAAAGGTAGATAGATAGATAGATAGATAGATAGATAGATGTAAACAGGACTACTACAGATAGAGTGAGAGAAAGAGAATGATAGGGAGGGAGCTATAAACAGAATACAATCGATCAGTAGCTAAATAGATGGAGATATGGATATAAACAGGCTATATAATTTAAAGAAAATCAGACCATTTTAAGGCTCCATTGTAATAAATTATTTCTCCAGAGACTTTTATTTTTCCTGGATCTTCAGACAATTACTGAAGATCCAGGGAAAATAAAAATCTCTGATTTAAAATTCTGATTCTTTAAAATTAAGTCTGAATTAACATTGAGCTCTCAGGATTTCATCCTCCTTGGGATTATCCATAAGGATTACCAAGATTTTCGTTACTTAATTATATATATATATATATATATATATATATATATATATAGTTGGCTTGATGTGAGTTTAGTTGCATTGGTGTGTGTTGATGTAAGATAAATATACTAAATACGTTAGCTCTTTCACTGATTGAGCGCTTTACAATAAGTACCGCGCATATATATAAAATTACACACACACACACACACACACATATATATATATATTTATATACATACACATTTTAGATATATATATATATATATATATATATATATATATATATATATATATATTTTTGGTTGGATAGATGTGAGTTTGATATATATATATATATATATATATATATATATATATGAGAGGAGAGACAGAGAGAGATAAGGTGAAAGTTCATAGCCTGACCAATATGCTCTCATGGAATGTTACCATATGTTCTATTTTTAACATAGCCCCTTACGGTCCACACACTTCTTTTACTGGTATTGCAGTGCAAGTTTTACATTAGTGAAGAAGCTTTCTTCCTCTTAGTTAAAAAAAAAAAAAGAGTTCTCAAGAGCAGATATGACATCATTATTCCGAGCCAAGTATTTTTCATGTTGGGGGACAGATGATGGTCCGATGGGGTCAAATCAAGGGAATAGAGACGGTGATCAACCAGTCCAAATTCACTGTCATGCACCTTGAAACCAAGATCTTATGTGTTAGATCATTGTCCTGATGAAAAACGACACCTTTCCTGAGCGTTTGGTTTTGATAGCCTCAGAAAGTTGTTATATAACACTCCATTAATATTGTGGCCATTTTGAACATTGTTAATAAACACTTCCAACCCCCCCCAAAGAAAAAACTGAGAGCATCATCTTTCCTGCAGATGGAACGGCGGTGGGTATCTTTGATACAGGAAGGAAGGGGTGTTTCTACTGCATGTATTGTCTGTTTGTCTCAAAGTGATAAAACAAACAGCCATCTTGGCGAGGAAGATTTAAGAAAACAAGTTGGACCTGCCTCAAACAATGTCAGGTTTTCCTGTGATGTGATCAGACTAGCGCGCATTTAATCAGATGAGCAGAAACCTTTGGCATGCTAAATTCATTGTGGAGAATCTTCACAACTCAACTATTTACATTTTTCGGACTATTGTCCTCATCTTTGTCGCCATATTTATTACAACGTTTCGGCCTTCTTCGGGTGGTTGGAATGTCGAACTGAACCCTTTATTTCGCTCACGTGTCGTGTTTAATGGATTTCAGTTATCAGTTATCTCCTGTTAATTCCCCTCTCCAAGTTCTCCACTGCCGTAACCGGGTATTGAACACACACTCTAACCCACTAGATCTAACCAACTGTGCCATGTGTCCTTTGACATCTGTGTTTGAATTTCTGTGTATTATAACCCTAATGTCTTCAGCAACAGTTTTTTGCCAGTGCTCATATTGTAATTTTTTTGCTGTTATCATTAAATGTTTTTACCAGAGCTCATATTGAAATTTGGTTGTTATTATCGCTTTTCTCTGGCATTCCTTATTACTTATAGACAGATATTTTACAACCCCATCAGAGGATATGATAACAACACTGGCTATTTGATTTATACCCATCCATCACGATGTCGTGAACTCGATCAATGTTCTCCTCCGTGATCGCAGTTACAGAATTTCCAGACACTGGATAATTTTCTAGACTCTCCTTCCCCTCCTAAATTCATCCGTCCATATTTGCACTGTAGATAAAATCGGGGTGTCATCCCTTAATGTATTAAACATATCAATATGAATTTCCTTGGGTGCTAATCCCTTTTTCTCTTGGTACTTTATGACACCACACGATGCCAAATTTTGTCTATTTTCAAGAGAATCCGCTACTAGTCTATTTTAAAGTCTTCTTTGAAGGGTTAGATTCCAGTTTATCTGGAAATAAACAATTGAGTTATTAATAAGAAGACTTTAAATTAATACCTACAAGATTTCATAGCTCTAGAATCAATCCTTCAGAGTCAGACAGTTAACTTTTCAGTCCACTCTCGTAAGTAGGTGAAGTAATACACATGAAAAGACATAGATAGATAGATAGATAGATAGATAGATAGACAGACAGACGGACAGAAACAGGCAATTAAATAAAATTCTGATATATATATATATATATATATATATATATATATATATATTATTTTTTATAAAAAAAAAATTATAACATAAGTATGTTATAAAATCACTACAAAAATAGCCATTTTGTTTCAACACACTCTGTGTCTTATCAAGCAGGATTTCGTTGTCAAGCTTTTGAATCTTTCTATACTTCGTTTTTGATTGGTTATTCTAGCTTTTGTAACAATGTTTCCCCCTAGTGTAGGATCGTTAATTAATCTGAAACTTTTAAAACCATTTATTTTCTTTTCAACATCATCACTTAATAAGCCACAGAGTGTGTTGAAACAAAATGGCTATTTTTGTAGTGATTTTATAACATACTTGTGTTATAATTTTTTATAAAAAATAATTATATCTGCTCTACTTTGTATTGAGCACTCTTTTAAGAATAGTAATTGTTGGTTATTGGAATTCATTCCGTATATACCAATTATATACTTTGATATATATATATATATATATATATATATATATATATATATATATATATATATATATATATATATATAGATAGATAGATAGATAGATAGAAGCGGGGAACCGTCTAAATAAACTTCTGATGGATAGACAGACAGATAGATAGAAACCGGAAACTGTCTAAATAAAGTTCTGATAGATAGATAGATAGATAGATAGATAGATAGATAGATAGATAGATAAATAATAGATAGATGGATGAACACTCAGATAGATAGATAGATAGATAGATAGAAACCGGAAACTGTCTAAATAAAGTTCTGATAGAAAGGCAGTCAGATAGATAGATAGATAGATAGATAGATAGAAGAAGGAAACTGTCTAAATAAAGTACTGACAAATAGGCAGTCAGATAGATAGATAGATAGATAGACAGATAGAAACCGGAAACTGTCTAAAGAATGTTCTGATAAATAGACATACATAGATAGAAATAGGAAACTGTCTAAATAAAGTTCTGACAGATAGATAGATAGATGGAGAGATAGGTAGTACCATAATCAGTATTTATCCACGTAAAAAATTGTTACTCTTCGTCAATTTCTAGATAGACAGATGTGTAAACATTGAAACAGAAATATATAATTCGTACGTGTGTATGTGTGTGTTTAACGACAAACATAAACGTTATTTGATTTTCTCGGTGTTCGGCCATGAACTCTAATTTTATCGGTGACGCTATTCTTTGCTGGAAGAGCACGTTCCGGCGTAAAAAAAAAAAAAAAAAAAAAAAAAAAATCAAAGAAGAAAAATACAAAGAAATCAATAATAATAATAATAATAATAATAATAATAATAATAATAATAAATTTGGAGATTATATTTAGTGACGTACAGACAAGACAATTCCGAGATTAGACAAAATGGAATCTGAAATCGACGGATCAACGAACCAAGAATGTTAATAACTATTCATAAGACTCTGACGCCCTAGCAGACAAACTAGCAAAGAAAAAAAAAGGAGGAAGACAATTCAACCCTATGGAGGATGAGTTCAAATGGTCAATTGTGATGAACGCAATAATAAAAGATAATTGGGAAATTAAAATCCCCGCCGAAGAATGGTAAAACAAAAGACGGAAACTATCACAGACGAAAAATTAAGGCCACGATTGCGTAGATGATACCTATATACTGGTATAGACTTAGCACCTAAAATCTGCACCAGGCTATTAAGTAACTGAGGTCTGAGGCTGTCCTGTAGTGAGCCGTAGCCGATTGGTCCGATGTCAGTGTTGACCTCGAGAGGTGAACACCTGTAAACAAGGCTGCTCCTCATCTGTGCGCGCTTGAGAAAAAAAAAGTTCGATAGATTGGTATATAACGCCAAAGACAGAAATGTGTGTCTCTCACGTATCAAAGGCGAGAGAGAATATAGGGTCCGTGTTTCGTGCCGTGTGATCCACAGGGTTGCTCACAGATGGCAGAATTCTCGCAAAGATGAAAGTTTCAAGTCTCTTGTTATCATATAAGCGACACGTCCACTTCATTATACGTATTAAGAAAACTAGTGCCTCTGTCTCTAATATTTATTCATTACAACGAACTACAGCAAAAGAATACGCCCCCCCAATACCACAACAAAAAAGAAAAACAGTATATTCCATCTCGGTAGTACAAATAATGACACCGTTTCTTCTCATATCGCGCACATATTGTGATTTTCCAAGCGTAGCTTAGATGTGGCACAAGGCCGAATCTATGGGGCACCCAGTGAGGATCGAACTCACTACTCAGTCGTAATAGTTCTAGCGAGAAAAGCTTGCTAACCGTTACACCGCCTTGGGGTGCCCATTAGTGATTTTCCAAGCGTAGCTTAGATGTGGCACAAGGCCGAATGTTTGGGGCACCCAATGAGGATCGAACTCGCTATTCAGTCGTAATTGTTCCAGCGATACAAGCTTGTTAACCATTACACTGCCTCGAGGTCCCCAACAGCGCACATATAAGGGTAATATATACCGCTATTAACGCATTGCTCTTCAACCGAATTGAATTGAGCTCTCTGGGCCACTGACGTATTTCGCATAGAAAACATTAAAATTTCCCTTTTCTCTCAGTTGTTCGACGATAGCCTAGGGGTAGAATCTCTGACTGATGCCAAATCTGTCGGGTTTCGACCCCGGCTTGAAGCAATCGGACGTCTAGCCACACTGAAGAACTCTTATACTCTTATACAACGGAACTGTCTGTCTGTAGTTGTCTCTCTCTATATATATGTGTGTGTGTATAGCTATATATATTTCAACAGAGTCAGAATTCTTTTTTCAAAGAATATCAACCTTAGCATTGCGACTGCACGCTCCAAACGTTTTATCTGTGAACAATAGCATTTCTAAAAAAAAACATATTTACCTGGCTTTTACTAAAAACAAAATGATTTCCATGCCTGAGGATGACTGTATGTACAGTTGAAAGTACTTGCAGATTTAAAAAAGACATAATACAACCTGTAGTTATTAAAAACAAGGATCATAACATTCATCGAGTGGTTCGTACGTTAATGTAACTTTAAAATTTTGTTTGCAAAGAGTTTTCGCCATTTTATATCATTAATTTTTCTAATCTGCTTTTTGTATGAATGATTCATTTTAATATAAATTGAACTGCACCACATATTTGATATGACGACAATTTAAACATCGCACCCTATATATAGAGTGCGATAGTTAAATTGTTGCCATTTTGTATTGTCAATCTCGCGTATATATATATATATATATATATATATATATATATATATATATAAATATAAATATATAATATAAATATTATATATATATATATATATATATATATATATATATATATAAAAGCTTTTTCCCAGGACAAAGAGAAGCTGCAGAAACCATCGTTGAATACGAATTTCCAGTTTTTGCAACATTCCTTGAGATTATACAACAGTAGAATTTTTTTTAGTCAACTGATATTTTCGGAATATCGCAATATTGTTTTTGTCTTAGACTAAATTTCTGTTTGCAATGTTGAAGTCAACAAATATGTTTAAACAAGTAAATGAATGCAACGATCATAAGCGAAACCTGCTAAAGCTCCTCCCTCTCTTAATTCTTGGTCTCCCTCGAGTTAAATGACAGGAATTAGAGACAGAATAAAAGAAGCACATATTTACACAAGAATTGCAGGAATCGGAAGTCTACTTGCGTTTTCAAATCTCTTGAGATTAGCTGTCATCCATTCTGTCAATAGAACGCCATTTTTTGAACAAATGCTAAAGAACCTAACAAAAAAAATTAATGATGTTAGTAATGATCAAGAATGATAAGGAAGATGACAGTGAAGAACACAGATATTAATAAAAATAACTTCGAATTATATAAATAAATAAATAAAAAGCCAATAGCCATAATAGAAGTATTTTCATTTCAGCAGGGTATATTCAGAAAAAAAAGGTGTTAGTGTATTTAATATGTAACGTTTAAAGACAGCTGTCAATACATTATAAAACATGACAAAAGCTATTTAACTATAGCAGAAAACCTCACTGTATATAAAAAGAAAGTTAGAAGTATAGCTCAACATTAAGCAATAAATCATAATCGTGAAAATTATCTTCTTTGACTCCTTTGGACATATAATTTTCAGTTGCAATGTTATGCTTTTCATCGGGTAAGTGTTTTATCATTATCTACACGTCATTTGTTTCCTTTCTTCAGCTAGTTTATAGGAGGGTGCTGAACTCATATATATATATATATATATATATATATATATATATATATATATATATATACACTGAATGCCAAATTATTATCGAGATAACATTTTTTTTTAATATTTCAAAAACCGTCCAATCAATTCACAAAAATCTTTTCACACAATGTTGGCAACACTGACCTGCGCAATGAATAAAATTATCGTACTGATCTGCGCAATGTAAACAAACTGGCGCCATATTTGTTATTAGCGCGGTGACTTGAGCGTGCCAAATTATTAGAAAGGTTTAGTAAAATTCCCAGAATTGAGCAAACAAAACGTTGTGGCACCATTTACCGAGGCAAAAAAAGAAAAGAAAGGAAAGAGAGGAAGGAAAGAAAGGAAAAGAGAGGCGAGACCCAAACGTGGATGATAAGTAGGACACCCACGACTATGGATAAAGGATATTTTGATAAGTAGCATATGGCAAAAAACTGTCATTACAATTGCAGAAAAATTCTAAGTGGATAAGGGAATCGTTGTGTTCTGGCGACGAGCTGTGTTATCGGGGATACATAAACAAACCGCTAATGCAGGAAAACATCTGATTAATCAAACCACAGACCGACTAGCCAAAGAAAAATCCAATTGAAAATGTTATTTTGATAATTGACAAAAAACAGGTGAACTACAGGGCTTTGGATAGATATGAAAAATTAATTGTGTCAAAGCCGCACACGAGGTGGCGACTGACCGTTTTTCTTTTGACAAGACATTTTTGGCTGCGATAATAAAACTATGTTATTAGAAATGTGCACCAAAGAATGACTGGAACCATGGAAATGTTTTTTTTTCGAGGTGACGGACGATTGTGCTGTGTCAAATAGACCACCCATTCTGATAATTAGCGATAATCTGACTGACGAAGTCCAGGTGAGAACAAGAGTTATGACCACCACCGATCGCATTGTTCTATTTGCAGCCAGAGAAAATGAGAACTGCGATTAAAAGGAAGAAAAGGAAAAGAAAAAGATAAATTTTTTTTTTTAAGCAAGATTTTTTTTTCTCCCTGAAACAAAGCCCGCGGGATCGCACACGCCCGGCTGGATATCATTGGCCGAGTGGTGATCACGTGACACAAGGAGAAAGCTGTCGCCGCCCACCTAGAGGATGGGTATGAGAGGTTGCTACGAAGAAGTGGGGAGGGCAGTTCACGCGCCTCTGAAGTATGGTGAGAAGGTGGGAGTAAGAGAAGGCTCCCAAAAAGGAAATGGAAAGAAGTGGAAAATTCCTAACCAAAAATAAAAGAAGTGGATAGGTATTTAGAATTATCGAGGAACCCCCGGCGCCGACAAACCCACCCCGGTTTTGGTCGGCGTCCATATAAGCGAAGTCGAAGCGAGCGAAAATCAGTTCCAGTAGAGAGTTCGAGTTCGAGTTCCAGAGTTCAGTTCGGGAGAGACAGTTCACAGAGTCAGTCTCCAGTGCTCAGTTGAAGCAAGCCTCGCATCGGCTGACCAAGATTCGCGCAATTTCCGGACTCATCTTCAATCCAAGAACAATTATTTTGAAGAGCGACTTAGATCCAGACCACCAAAAATAAGTTTTTTTCGACTTCCGCCCGAAGACACACCGAAAAACCAATTTCTTAAAGAGCAAACAACTTGAAGTGTTAAAACTCGCCTAACGGAAAACAACGTGTCACAATCCATAGAACGGGTCGGGAGATAGACGTAGTCCTATGTATCCAACAACTAGACAAAAGTTTGTTATCCTTTTCTTTGATACCTTGAACTTTTGTATTTATCATTTTATTTCTTTTATACGTATTTGTGCGATACCACCCCCGCTTGGACCCAGCTTGCATTGCGGCCCCAACGACTGATTGATTTCGTCTGCCTAAGATCGATTCACAAAGTGGGTAGGCGGACTGGAAATCAACGCAGTTACTTTGGTAACCAGGCGTTGGAAGCGAGTTGGGAACGACGAGGCTGATATCGAATCTAACCATATTCCCAGCCGAATCACCAAAAGGTTAGAACGTCACATTTGGGTGCCGCGACCGATACCAAGCCAGTTGGTCGTCACAGGACGGGACAACACGACTGACGCGACAGGCGAACGTCACGTATGGAGCGGCGACACCCGAACGAAACAGCGAGGAGCGAGAGAAGGCTGTGTTTAGGGACGTCACAACGTTTATTAATGTTGCACGTGAATGTTTATGATCAAAAGAACCTAATAAATAAGATAATCAAACGAATAATAACAGATACAAACAAAGGCACAGTTTTAAACAAATTAATAGGGAATGTGCTTTCCTGTTTTGAAATTACTTGAAGAAGTCGACGATCCATAGAATTTGTTAATTGTAGGATGTCAACTGCTGTAATTCCGCGAGATATGTCAAGAATTGCTTCCCACAACTCAGCGTTGCTCCTGAATTGCCGTCCGTTGGCGTACAGTCTTCGCTTCATGATGCTTCAAAGGTTTTCGATTGAGTTCAAATCCGGAGAATTTGCTGGTCACTTCATTTTTCGAGGTCCATCGAAGCCTAACTGTTTCAAATATTCAGTAGTCTTGTGAGCAGCATGTGAGGGAGCATTATCTTGCATAAAAACAATT